TGTTTTTTAAGGCCCCTAAGCAGTCCTAGCAGTTTGTTTTTTATATATGGTTTTCAAAAGCACTCCCTGATGGATGCAGCTTTTTGCTGTAGACCCTACTTGGAAGCTAAATTATTTCTGCGATAACCTTTATGTAAGAGTTGTATCTCTTTGGCTCTTCATCTCTGACTTTTAAACCAATGTAGGTATTTTTAAGCTTGGCCATCTCTATCATTGGTTTAGCTTAAAGCTTTTGTTTTTTGAACATACTACTCCAAGTCTGACTATTTTGGTGGATTTTAATTGGTAGCAGTCTCTGATGTTAAAGCTTGGCTTGGCTCTAAGCTGTGAGTTGATGATTGTCTCAACTCTCCAGTGAGTTAAACTGCTTGGCTTCAGTGGCTTTTAAATGTTCAGTTTCACTTCTCTAAGTTTCATGCTGGTGCAGAACCTGGTATAAGGTTAACTGTTCAGTTTCACATTTTTAGAACGTGTCTGGGCAGGGTCAGTTTTTCAGGCTGCTGATCTGATTCATTTCCTCACATTTTTACCAGTAGATAAAAGACCTCTTGGGGACTAATAGTTAGTGTCAGATAAATGAAACTCAGTACCATGGTGTCCTCTTGAGTACAGTGTGCCCTGTGCTTGTGGTTAGTTCTTGTCAATGCTTCTATGTTAGATGAGCACATTGATGGAAAGAAGGTAGGTGCAGCACATAAGTAAGGCTGGTGAAATCACCAGTGATGAATGTCTTGTTTCACAGGAACACATGGAGTGCCATGTGCCTTGTGAATTAAAGAAGTGGCTGTGCAGCCTGCAGTCTGTTTTGATTTAACATCCCAGACCATGACATGGTACTCTGAAGGGAAGTGTAGAGGGGCTGTTCCATTGGGGTACTCTACCATTGACTAGTGTCATGCTATATTACTAGGGACTGCGACTAGTTAAGGCCCCTCTCATCTAAGCTGGGAAATACCCAGCCCAGATAATAAGGATCATTCTCTCACCAATACCTGCATAATGGTGCCCCTAGGAATGGGAGAACAGAGAGGTGAATTCCTCCACTCTCTGATGTGCCAGGGTGACTTGAAGGGGGGGTGCAGTATTGATGCAGTAGCACTCTTCTCTCTGCTAAAGTGTGAGTGGGATTGCAAACAGTGTGCCAGCTCTTGCTTGTGATCTGTGTGCGCCAATAATTGACTAGCTGAGGCCCTTAGCACTGCAGAAGACTCTGTGGGGTTGAGAAGTTGGCTTCTGTCCCTGTCCTGAGGACTAAGGTGTATGGGACTGGAAGTCATCTCTCAAATCAGTGAATCCAATTTCCTACTAATGCAGGCAGTTGCATCAGAGTTATGAACTCCATTTTTTTGCCCCTTAGTTATATCGTGCTGAAATAAGAATGCTGCTTTGGTGAGATGTGTGCTGTGATGCTAGGACATTGTGTGCCCCAAGAGTGCTGCCACATTTCTCAATGTTTGGGGTTTTGTGGAATCTGGTGTGGTAAAGGAATAGCTTTCTTTTGTATTGCCTGCTAGGTGGTCTAAAGTTGAGGTGCTGCTTGCTTCTCCCTAATCCAGTGTTTTTTTTTTCCCTTGCATGCTAGCTCAGACTGTAACAGTTATATGGTGAGGCAGTGCAGTTGATACATGATGAGAAGGGATCCAGGTTTTCTGTTTCCTTTGGAGAAATGTGGATTTTCTTCTTTAAAGGAGAAAATTGGGAAACCATGGGTTTCCCTTCGCAGGCTGACAGCCTTCTAACCTGCAAGTAGCTGCTTGGGGCTGAGGGGAACAGAGGGAGAGGTGATTGGAGGCAGGGGGTACCATGTGCATCTGTACATGCACTCTCACATGGCTGACATACAGCTAGGCAGGGTGGTGGGAGCAGCCCTGGCAGCTGGATGCAGGTCAGTATGGAGTGTTGGGGGTTGGAGGGCTAGGGCTTAGGGACTGTCTGGGGGAGTGGGCATGTGGCAGGGGGTGTGTGGAGAGATTGTGTGTGTGAGATGGGGCAGGTTCTTGCCAGCATTGTGGGAAGATGTCTGGGCATGGGGGCTGTTCCTACTTCTCCGGTGGGAGAAAGGGACAGGGGAGCCCTTTGGGGGTGGCAGGGAACTGCACAGCCAGGCCAGCGGCACCAGGGCCAGTACCTGTGGTCACAGGGGCAGGGCAGCTGGGAGAAGCTGCCTGGGGTGGGGATCTGCAGTCAGGCCACCTGGTGTGGCACAGGAGCCCCAGCCCAGGGCAGGGAGTGCCACAGGCCTCCCTTCCTCTTCCCTCCAGCCCTTGGCTGGAGGGAAGAGGAGCCGCTGCAGCTGCTGCGCTCCAGCCTGGGTGGGATGGGAATAGCTGGGGGGGCAGGCAAAGGGCTGTGGGTCGGGAGGGAGGGGCACGAGCAGGTCCCTGGGGCTGTGGGTCAGGAGCATGGAGCGCTAGTGGGGACGCAGGGCCTGCGGGTAGGGAATGAGGCACGTCGACGGGTGGGAGCACTGTGACTTATGAGTCAGGGCATGGGCAAGGCACTGGCATATCAGGCTTGCTCAGCGCCACAGAGCATCTGGGAGGGGACAACTGCAGCTGAACCTGGGTCTTGGTGAATGACAGGGCAGTGGGCGCTCTGATTTTTCCATGACAAAAAACAAAATAAAATGCCAAAATATAGGTGTATTGAGAATTTACTTTATAATAAAGATTGAGACACTGGTAGGCGTCCAAATTGCTTTAAAATTGTAAATATATCAATAAAACATTGTGTTAAATTTATATGACTCTGTGTGTATAGTGGCATTTCATTTTAATTGTAAAAAAGTGTGGATTTGGGGGTTTTAAATCAGAGAACCTGGTGGTTTCTTTTAATCAGAAAGTTTGCAGTTTTTAAATGGAAAAAACCAGGATCTCTGACATTGAGCATGCTTGACATGAGTGCAATTGCTGTAGCTGGACACTAGAGCTTTGGAGGATCCCAGGGCCTAGACAAGGGTCATGGGCCTGTTCAGAGGATCTCCCACCATTAAGTCCTCTTAAACATCTTTTAGTTATTGGTTGCTGAGCTGTGGATCCGTAAAGGTGAAACAAGAGGACACTTGGCTTTCTGTTTCTCAGTGGTCCTTCTCTTCAGTTCTGTTTTTATGCCCCTAACTTTTTCATGTAGCAACACAATCTTTAGTGTAGTGGTTTAAATGGGAGGGAGGTCTGAGTTTAACTATTGACTATTTCATATGACTGTCATTCTTGCGTTGGCTGGTAATCCTGGGATTGTAGGATTGGAAAGAACTATGAGCCGAGTTAATCAATCTCCATGCTCTGAAGTACGATCATGTATACCTATAACATACTTGTAGATATTTGTTGAATTTGTATGAATATAAGTAGGGATGTACTCAAATCGCAGAGCCTAGGGCCAAATTTCATGGGCTTGACACAGCCCCAGGCTACAACTTCATGGGCAGATCATGGATGCCTCCACAATGCCTCTGGCTGGGGCAGCCAGCAGTTAAGTGGGCTGCCACCTCCCCACTGCCCCCTGGCCCAGGCTGGCCCCGCTCCCCACCCGACCCTGGCCTGTACAGGGTGGGGGGAAGCACCCACTCATGACTCAGGATGGGCTGCTGCCACCCTGCTGCCCTTGGGTTAGGCTACGCTGCCCCTCCTTCCTGCCCCTTCCCAGCCCTGCTCCTCCTGGTCCAGCCTTGCTCCCTCTACTCTCCCCAGCCCTGTTTGGACATGGGGATGGACTGCAGCTGGCCCACTGCTTCCCAGCGAGACCACGCTTTCCCCCCTGCCCAGTCCCACTCCCCCCCACCATCGTCTGGCTACACTGCCTCCCAGCCCAGCCCTGTTCCTCCAGAGCAGTACAGCACAGAGCAGTACCTGCAGCAGGAGCTGGACTAGAAAGAGAGGAGTGAGCTGTATCTTCCAGGATATTCCTACTTTACTTACTTAAGTATTGAAGAGTATATGAGAGCTCTTCCCAATCTTGAGAGGAAGTGATTGGAATGGTCTGAGACTTGAGTGCGCTCAGTGTGGCACAGCTGCTGATTCACTGTGCCAGGAGCCTTAGATAATGTAGAGAACCAGGGAGTTCCTCTGTGACTTGTTCTGAAGGCATGGGCCCAAGACCAAAAATCCAGTGTGGATAATGCCTTCAGAAATGGAGAGTTACATGGTAGGCAGGTTTCCATATTGAAGGTGGTGAATACCTCAAAAAGAACGTCCAGTCCAAGCCTAACTGTGGCTAAAAAATAAGGCATGTTGTTGTTGTTTACATCATGTTTCACGAGGATTTTAACTGTTTATCAGTAGGGATCTCCGTAAATCATGGATGAATTGCCCCCCATAGTGGCTCCTCTAATTTTTTTTTCGTTTCGCTGTTTGCCTCCCTGCTCATCCCTGGCACTTTTTGGCAGAGGAGCCCCGCCAGTCAGCAGCAAGCGGCGGGGACCCCTCTGCCAATCAGCAGCAGAGGTGCAAAAACCATGGCAAATCTTAAACCATGGTTTTCCCTTCCTCAGCTATCAGCAGCAAGCAGCCCAGCTGGCAAGGACCCTCCATCAGACGGGGGCAGGGGGGCAAACAGCAAAATAAAAAAGATTAAACGAGCCACTGTGGGGGTCTCTTTCTCTGCAATTTACAGAGATCCCTATTTATCAGCTGCAACATGGTTAAACAAGTCTTTGTTGTTAGTATGTTAGACAATTTTCTGTAGCATTTAAAAGTTACAGCTTGCCTCTTTTTTCTGGGTCTGTTGAAACTTGTGCTTACTAATCACTTTGAGGTCTTAGATTAGATTGGTCTGCTAAAATAATGAATTATTAAGCTACAGAAATCTTTGGAGTTGCACTATATATTTTTTTTTTAATTTTTTTTTTTTTGAAAAAGGTTGTATGTTGGTGTAGTAATTCTTGTTAATATAAGTTCTTGTTGCATGGGATTTTATGGAAATCTCATGTAAGTGAATTAATTAGTTGAAAAAAACCCTGCCTTGTGACATAACAGTACTTTTTCCTTTTCTTCTATTTACAGTATTTGACACTGTGTACCAAAGAAATGGTTATGGAGAAGCCAAGTCCCCTGCTTGTAGGGCGGGAGTTTGTGAGGCAGTACTACACTTTGCTAAATAAGGCACCTGACTTCTTGCACAGGTAACACTTTTAATGTAATCAGCTTTCTCCTTGAGTAGAAGTGGCATATTAATCTAAAAATAGCCGTGACACACTATTAATTTACTTTATCTAAATACTTTTATGAATAATCAGACTCAAATTCTTAGGCTTTGAGTTAAAATGATACCACCACATGAGCCAGGTAGGTTATTTCAGCTCTTCTGAATTATAACCAGAAGTTATTGGACTTTATCTGACCAGGTCCTTTTGTATCTATGGAGATATAGCTGCCATACAGTCACTTGATAACTAACTTATACTTAGGTGAAGATATCAGTGGTATTTTGGCCCAGCACTCAAATCACTTTGCTAGCTGAAATTTTTGTAATCTACTAGTTGTACAATGGTAGCATAATTTAAAGGTTAGAGAGATTTCTCTTTTAATTTTGGAGGTCATTTGACCACTATTTTGTGTTTCTCTTCATCAAGAGTTCAACATTGTGGCACATGAAGACATTTTGCTTGGCACACAACCTTTTGGGGCGGATGGCGGGGGAGCTGTGAGTGGTCCCTTCCTCACAGTCTGCCCCAAGGCACATGTGAACCAGCAACGAGCTGGGTCTGGGCTCCACAGACCCCGATGCAGCTGCTTTCAGCCTCTGGATATCTACCAGTTGACTGAGCTCTGGCAGGACCCTGCAGCTCGCCACAGAGCCTGAGCTGCTCTCAGCAGGCAGTGGAGAGACTGTAAGCAGCTGCACCAGGCTCTGTGGAGCCCTAGCCCAGCTCGTTGCTGGTGATGGTACATGCACACCTCAGCAAACAGCAGGGAAGGAGCCAGGACTGCTGCCACAAGAAGGATTGGGCCCCTCATGGTGCCTTCACCATTCATCTCTGGCACACCAAGATATTACAAGTCAAGGCTGTGGGGGTTTTTGCCACACTGCCCAAAAACATCACTGACCCCTGAGCTAAAACAATAAAATCTGCTAATCAAATTAGCAAAGGACTTATTCAGGTATAGTACTTAAAGTAAGAAGGTGTTTCAGTTGTTTAGACTGAACATTGCTTGTAAGAAGAACTGGTTAACTGAATCTTAACCAAAGGTATTCTACTACTGTAAATCGGGGTTTTGTTTTGACCAAGATAAGATCAATTTTCCATTTTTAACCAACTTACTTATTGTTTCATCACCCTGTCAATAAAACTTTTTTTCTGGTTTTGCTTAAATTTTGCATGTCATTTGGAATTTTACTACGGGTTACCCAATGTAGGACTGAAGCATAGTTAAGACTGAATAAAGCTTTTTCATGCTAAAATTTGTCCATGTGCCTGAAAATTACTGTCATCTGAAGTCTTTAGGGTAAAGCTGGTAGTAGAAATTTGGGATCATTTGGTTAATATTGTACGTGAGTTAAAGCTCTCCCAAAATGACTGAATTCTAAAATATTGATGTTATAAATAATATTTACCTGTTCATTACTGAAGAAAGTGTGAAGTACAGGCAATAATTTCTGCATTTGAGTTGCCTGATGTCGTGTTGTCAGCCTTGGAACCTAATAATAAGATTATAGAATATGAAAAAAGGCTACAAATGGTGCTGCTTTGAACTCAAATTAGTGGGCAAGCAAATAATGGAAATATTTATCTATGAAGACAGATTTTTAGAATGCCCCAAAACTTAGCAAAAAATCATGAGCTTAAACTGATGTCTTGCATAAGGAGTGGCCTTAAACTTGTGTCAGTGTAGGTCTGATATGTTTCAACATGCAGCACTAAGTCATAGAATTAAAAGTTGCTTGGCTTGGTGTAAGGCAGGGGTGGGCAAAATACAGCCCACAGGCTGGATCCAGCCTGCGGGGCCCCTAAAAAATTTAGAGAATTAGTATTTATCTGCTCCTGACTCCTGTCAAAGATGATAGGAGCCAGGGGAAGCCACCCTGGGCTCCCCCCAGTCAGAAGCCCCTGCCTAGCAGAGGCTTCTGGCTTGGGACCGTGGGGTTGTTTGTGCCTGCGCCAGCATGGGAAATTCAGATAAGAGCGGGGCAGGGAGGACTGCAGGGATTGCCCCAGTCCTTGGGGCTGGGCTGGCTCCTGCTGACTTGTACGGTCTGGCCATGCAGCCGGGAGGCAGAGGTGAGCAGAATGCAGGGCCTGTACTGGTGTCCCAGGGCCAGTGCCAGCAGGGCTTAGAGTGGGCTGGCAGGGGTCCATGGAGCCAGGCTGGGCTGCCAGCAGGAAGAGAGGGGACCTGGACGATGGCTTGGTGGCTTTGGGCTGGCTGCAGTGCACCTTGGCCTCCTGCTCCTTCCTGCTGTGCATGGCGGAGCGACCTTGCGGCACCCCTCAGCATGGAGGAGGATGACGAGGTGGGCTTGGCCATTGCTGGCTTCTTCCACCGCCACCACGATGCTCCCACTGCACCCAGCTGCTGTGCTGTCACACCGTGTGG